AGTAACAACTGATGATTTTCGGAATTTTTGTTTCGTTTTGTCCTAATGGCAAGCAGTTATACAAACTCTAAAATTCACGGTTTTAGTTTATTTTGGTTAGTTTCAACCAAATAAGAATCAAATTTTCTTTCATAAAAAAACACAGTTTTTATAGGTTATTAATGACAATATTGTTCATTTCCATTCTTCGACCGGAAAATAAATACGCATACTTCAAAATTCATTATTTTTATGGGCTATATAGTCTATGCTTTTTGTCCATTTTGTTGGTTTCAGTTATTTATCAATTAATTTAGCGAATTTCAATATTTGAGATTTCATGGCTATTAACCAATTTTTTGTCCAATATCATTCACTCAACCCAATGTCAATTAGTTATGACTAGTTCAAAATTCGTGATGGTCTTGGCAATTTTGGTCGTTTTGTCCTAAAGACAAGTAATTATACATCAAAATTCACGTTTCCAATGGAACCCATGATTTTAGTTTACTTTCATTAGTTTCGACCAAATGGCAATTATATTTTCTTTTACCAAAACTTGCTACTTTCATGGGCTATAACCCAATATTTTGTCAATTTTCATTCTTCAACCACTTGGAAAATAAAAATGTGTACTTTAAAATTTATTATTTTCATGGACTGTTTCAAAATTTGTGATTTTGGCTGGTTATAACCTACGATTTTGGGATTTTTTTGTGTTTCGTCCTATTTACACGTAACTATACATGTTTTAAAATTGACGGTTTTTATGAGCTTGAACCAACAATTTTAGTTAATTTTTTTTAAGGTTATCAATAGCGAATAACGTCGCGTAGTGAGGAGGCATCGCTAAGGCTATTTCGGGCTATTGCGGTAAAATAGCGGTAAAAAGCGCAAAATCAAATAGCGGTCTAATTTAGATATGTATAAATACTAAAAAAAATTAAAGAAAAATCTAAAAAATCTAAAAGTACATATTTGATGATTTAAAGATATCCTAAACATGAAATAGACATGTAACATCACATAATACCGAAGATGACTGGAGGAGTCAAAAAGTCGTCGTCTTCGAGAAGAAAAGCTTAGCGGTGATAGGACTGCCCTAAGAGGAGCTCACGGTGACGGAGATGAGAGGAAGTATCAAGGTAGGTGCCAGAGGCTATGAGAGGTGGCGGGAGTATGCTGAAAATCATAGAAGACGGTGGAATGCAATGGTCAAGGGTTGAGTTTAATTTTAAAACAATAAGCCTCAAACCGTTTTTAAATAGCAGTCAAAAAGCAAATTTCGAATGCAATCGCTCACTATTTACCGTTATGACACACTTTTGACCGTTTTTGCGAACAGACATGTTCTGCAATATACCATTACTATTGCACGATAGCGTAGCGGGCGATAGCATCGCGGGAAGGGACCGCTAACGCTATTAGCGCCGCTATTGCGGGGCTATTTACCGCTATTTATAACAGTGATTTTCTTTAATTTTGACGACGAACTAAATTTTCTTTCATGAAAAACCACGATTCTTTCATGAAAATTTATGGGCTATAACCCACAAATTTGACAATTTTCATTTTTGACATGATGGAAAATAAATATGTTTCTTTAAAATTTGTGATTTACATGGCATATAGTCCATGATTTATCTATTTTGCTCATTATGAGCATTAAACATTTGGTTGTGCGTATTTCAATATTTATGATTTTTATCGGCTAGCTCACAATTTTTGTCCATTTTATTCGACCCAATGTCAAGTTAATTGTGACTAGTTGAAAATTCGCGATTTGGGTGGGTTGTAACTCATACTTTCGTTAATTTTTATTCGTGTCGTCCTAATGAAAGTAACTCTACATACCTCAAAATTCGTAGTTTTATGGTCTATACCTCACAATTTTATTTTATTTTTGTTAGTTTTGGCCATATGGCAAGTAAATTCTTTCATAAAAAATTACGATTTTTATGCGCTCTAACCCACGATTTTGTCAGTTCTCGTTCATCGATTAATTAGAAAATAAATACGCATATACTTTAAAATATGTTACTTTGATGAGCTATGAACTATGATTTTTGTCTATTTTGTTTGTTTCAACCATTTAGCAATTAATTGTGCGAACTTCAATATTCGCAATTTTCACATGCTATTAGCCATGGTTTTTGTCCATTATCGTTTATTTGACCCAATGACAATTAATTATGACTATTTTAAATTTTGCGATTTTGGTAAGTTATAACCTATGAATTTGGCATTTTTTTGAATGTCAAGTAATTATTCATACTTCAAAATTCACGATTTTTCATGGGCTATAATCAACGATTTTAGCCTATTTTTGTTAGTTTTGGCATAATGGCAATTAAATTTTTTTCATCCAGAATTGTGATTTTTCATTGGCGTTTCCCCAAAGTTTTTGTCAATTTTTGTTCTTCAACACAATGAAAAATAATATGAGTACTTTAAAATTCATGATTTTCACGGGTTATAGTTCATTATTCCCCTTTTTTTGATATGACTATTTATTAATTAAGTGTGCTAATTTCAGTATTTGAGATTTTCATGGGCTATAAACTATGATATTTATCAATTTTCGTTTGTTTCAACCTAGTGATAAATAAGTTTAATTTTTTTAAATTTTGCGATTTTCATGGTCTATAATCCACTTTTTTGTCAATTTTCATTTTTTCTTTCCCATGGAAAATAAATATGCATACTTTAAAATACGTGATTTTCATAGGCTGTAGTATGTGATTCTTGTTTATTTTATTAGTTTTGACCATTTAGCAATTAATTGTGTGAACTTCAATATTCGCAACTTTTATTGGCTGTAACATGCGGTTTTTATCCATTATTGATCAATCAGCCCAAGGGCAAGTAAATTATGACTATTTTAAAATTTGCTATTTTGTGTGTTATAAAGCACGATTTTCGCAACTTTTTGTTTGTTTCATTGTAATGTCAAGTAATTATACATATTTTGAATTCGCAATTTTCATGGGTTGTAATCCATGGCTTTAGTTTATTTTCGTTAATTACAACCAAATGACAACTTAATTTTATTTCATAAAAAATCGTGATTGTCAAGGGCTACAACCCATAATTTTGTCAATTTTTAATTTTTTATTTATCGACCCAATCGAAAATAAATATGTGTAGTTCAAAATTAGTTACTTTCATGGGCTAGAGCCCTTGATTATTTTCAATTTTGTTTATTTCAACCATTTAGCAATTAATTGTGCGAAGTTCAATATTTGTGATTTTCATGTGTTATAACTTATAATCCATGATTTTTGTCCATCATTAATCTGTCGATCCAAGGGCAATTAAATATGACTAGTTCATTGATTTTGGTGGGTTATGACAACCGATTTTAGCAACTTTTTGTTTGTTTCTTCCTAATGTCAAGTAATTATACATGCTTTGAAATTCACAATTTTTATGGACTATAACCCAAGATTTGGTTTATTTTCTTTAGTTTCAACCAAATATCAACTAAATTTTCTTTTCTCAAAAATCACAATTTTCACTGGCTATTACTTATAATTTTGTCATTTTTTTGTTTTGTGACCCAATCGAAAATAAGTATGCGTAGTTCAAAATTTATTACGTCAATGCGGGTAGTCTATGTTTTTTGTTCGTTCTGTTCATTTTGACCAATTAGCAATAAATTGTGCGAACTTCAATATTCACAATTTTTAGTGGCTTTAACCCACAATTTTTGTCTGATTTCGTTTGTTCGAGCCAATGTCAGTTAATTGTGAATAGTTCAAAATTCGCATATTTGGTGGGCTACAGCTCATGATTTTGGTAATTTTTATTCATTTTGTCCTAATGGCAAGTAATTCTACGTACTTCAAAATTTCTTGTTTTCGTGGTTTATAACCCACAATTTTATCAATTTTCGTTCTTCGACCAATTGGTAAATAAATATGCATGCTTTAAAATTTGTTATTTTCATGGGCTATTGCCCATGATTTTTTGTCCATTTTGTTTATTTCGACTATTTAGTAACTAATTGGTCATTCGACCCAACAGAATTAAATTGTGGCTATTTTAAAATTTGTGGTTTTGGTGGGTTATAACTCATGATTTTGACAAATTTCTCCCAATGTCAAGTAATTACACATATATCAAAATTTGCGATTTTCATGGACTGTAATCCACGATTTTAGTCTATTTTCATTGATTTCGACCTGATTGCAATTAATTTTTTTAATCAAGAATCATGCTCTTCATGTGTTTTAACTCATGTTCATGATTTTTTTGTCAATTTTTGTTCTACCCAATGGAAAATAAATGAGTACTTGAAAATTCATGCTTTTCAAGGGCTATTTTTGAGCCTTTTTTCGTTTCGACCATTTAGTAACTAATTGTGCGAATTTCAGTATTCGTTGTTTTAATGGGTTATAATCTACGATTTTTGTCCATTTTGAACAAGATGTAGCCTAATTATAACTAAAGCCGTTCAACCTTATTGCATCTATTTGGATTAAGTCTTAGTTATACATCCTCCTTTAAAAGTTACTGATGCTTGTCCAGGTTATAGCCAAGGTCAAATCTGATGTAGGGTGGAACCAGTTAACGCTGTTCCTAATCTTCTAGCGCATTGACTAACTGCAAACAACTTGCGGAACACACAAATAGAATATATTCTTTTGAAATATTTTGTTTGAATGTTACTTATTGCATTAACTATTCATTTTTACAACTCCGAACCATTTTTTATATCAGAGATATCGTGAGTTTTTACTTGTTCTAGCCTTACGAGTTCTTGCTCCAGATATAACATGAATACAGAAAAAATATGTATAATTTATTATTGTGTTGGGTACAGATCTGTATGCTGACCATTTATTTGCAATATCCTTTTACCTGTATCATGTTGCATTGAACTCACATTCTAGCTATATTACTCCGCTTTGTTTACGTTTTCACAGTTGAGTTGCAAATGATTATGGAAAATTTTCCTCTTCCTAATGAACAGTGTAAGCTACAAGTAACAACTAATACGTTACTCTTTTCTGTGCTAGATATGATGTGCAGAATTATGAGAATGAAGTTAATATGTGGTTCACTGAAGCAACTGGTCGGCCTTGTACCTTTGTGAGATGCTTAGGTTTGAAAAGTCAACATTGCTCAAGTAAAGGCGGCAGAGAAGGCACAAGAGAAGGCTTGTGTAGAGAACTTAGAACAAACTTGAATTTTTCTAATGAAGCGCAAGTCCTACTAATATCCGAAAACAGTGTTAATGATCTCAATTGTCGGCTAAGTATGACATGCACTCTCCTATTGTTTTTGATATTTAGACTTATCTGCCACTCGAGTAAATCGATGATATGGATTATATACATAAGGATCCACAAAGTAACAAGTGATCTCATTTTATGCACTCTATGAGCGATCTGTTGCTATAGGAAACTTCCAGCTTATGTAGCTAAAATGCGTGGTGCAGCATCCTATAGACGATCCACACTGGTAATCATAATTAATTACTTCTGTTCAATAAACCATGTGTGGATCAGAAATCATGTTTCTGGACAGTTGCAAATACATGAAGTGGTTCCAATCTATTCTATTACGGAAAACCTCCAATTTTACAATCAGTTAACGCAAGTTTGAGAACTTTTAAACTGTATAAATGAAGTTAAAGTAGGAGAGTGTCCGTTTTGTTAGTTTTTGATGCGTAGGAAGAGTGCCTACTGAAGTTACTTGTCTAGAGGATCTTGATTTGTGTTCACTTTTTCTTATTTTTATAGCAGATAATCAGAAGGGAAATTGTAGGTCTGAGCAGCAATCAGTTGTTGACGCAATGAGATTTCGTCCCAATCTTGTTGTCTCAGGTGCAGAACCATTTGCTGAAGATAACTGGATTAGCGTTCATATCGGGAAGGCACATTTTATTGTAAGTTGATCATGCTTCACATATTCCAATTGCTTTCCCTCAGTCTATAACTATGGTTGGTGATCAGACATCTAAAGTTTATTTTATCCACACTTACTGTAGTCACTGGGAGGATGCAATCGCTGCGAGATGATTAATATTGGTCAGCAGAGTGGCCAAAAGCTGAAACCAAGGGAACCGTTGAGAACTTTAGCATCATACCGTAGAGTGCAGGTCAGAATTATGTCCTACATATTGAAATTTTAATCTGAATCTCAAGCGATAAAAAGAAGTCCCAACTTTTTATACACTACTGATATCTCAACTGGGACTAATTATTTTGATTGTGTTGTGGTAGCAGGGAAAGATCTTGTTCGGTATTCTGCTTCGGTATGAAAGTACCACCATTTCAGAGGATGGAGAAGTTCCAAGGATTGGTGAAGAGCAACGGCTTCGAGTGGGGCAGGAAGTGTATCCATCCATGAACTAGATGGAGAATAAGGTGCAGAAGAGTGTAGCTAGCTGCTAAAATGAGAACATAGGGGATACAAAAAATTGAGAGAAAACTTTGTTGTAAATGTGCGAAGGGCGGAAACTTAACCAAAATAAATTTGGATCTAAAACCTCCCAAGAAGTTAACAAACTATTGCTCATAGGGGATGGAAAAAAGGAGTTCTTTGCATTTCTAAAACTTTGTTGTAATTTTTTGTTTATCTCGTGTACCAGGATTTCTCAAACATGAATGATTAATAAAGTATGATTTTAAGAGCAAGATTGTTCTCAAAGCTATCTTTCTCTGAATTTCCATCTAACGGAAGGAGTATCATTTTAACCCAGGTGTGTTTCATTACCTAGAACATATTTGGTTAACCCAAGAATAAGAATGGACTGCGTTCTTGCGAACAATACACAGAATAACCAAAGTAAACACAAATCATTCTGCCATATTGAACTTATAAGCCAACTTATGCTGCCGTACATCTTATTTTAGAGCGGGAAGCAGTCAAATTCAAATGGAAAACGCGATGGCTGATATTACTCCCAGTGATTAAAATGCAAATAGCAAACTGACACCCCAATGTGGGCAGCTGATACATGCTTTGTTGAGATCCCTATGTACAAAGAAGCAGCAAAGTTGAACCCCGACAGGGAATGCCAAGTCTATGCAGGACCGAACCGCGGTGATGATGTTTAACTTGCCGAACTTAGGATGCCGCTGTGTCACTCTCTTCACCTTCATCATCTAGATCAACTGGCCTTCCATTAAGCTCACTGGGAATAGACGCTAGAGTTAGCATTGAGATGAAAGCAGTGTACACTTGATAATGGAGGGAGGGAGAAAGAAAAAAGAGTAAGAAAAATAACTGAGAACACTGTTTTAATTCAAAGAAATATATGGAGTAGGATTTTCAGAACAGAAAACACATGAGGAATATATGCATATGTTTCGCATGGTGCAGGCAAACCGATTATAGAGAAGCCAATGACCGCAATTAACAGAAAAATGGTGCATTGATTTTCGTCGACTAGCTCAGAAATACTAATGAAATCCACATTCAACTGAACTAGTTTCAAGAGATTTAACCGTGAACTTGTATAGACCCAAGGATAGATTGCAAATAGTTCAAAAAAAAAAAAAAAAAAAGCTTTGCAG